CACGAATAGAGTACAAAAAAGTTATATTTTGAGCAATTTTGCACGCAAATGAGCGACAAACAAGTTTCTTCTCCCATGCGCTACAGTTAGATTGCCTTCGCTTGCCAACCACGGAGCTGAGAAAAGCTGATGACACGGTTGGAGATGTCAGCAATTGCTACTGGTCTCGGGCAGGTTGTCTCGATCCACATCTGCAGACTTGTTAGACTGAAGGTCTTCAGCTTACCGGTACATTGATTTGTCACATTGTTGAAACACAAAAAGTCCCGAGTGTCAAACGTGCAGCAGCTATGCTAGACGCCACAGTCAGAGCAATGGACTTGAATTGGGCAATTATGACATCGACAATGGGTAAAACTCAGAACCGAACGGGTGCCGATTGAATATTACAAACTCAATTCGAGTCTGTGGACACGCGTTTATGAAGTGATATAAAAGTTATAGTTAGATAAGAGGAAAGAGACTAAGCTTCAAGAAGGGCTCACTTATTCCGAGTGTTCAAATCTATACCCGGCAGCTATAGACCACTCACTCTTTTCAATCACGACGCTAAAATAGAATCAGATGCGTTGGAAAGGTTTTCAGTTTACCATCCACTAACCTCGTTTCAGGACATTCAAGAGCTCTGCAACTAATACGTGTCCGGATGCGCGTTAGGTGCTCTTGGTTTTTACTAGGGAAATTGACAGTGTGCTATGGCCAGCCTTGAATATGGTACATCGCCACGTGCGACATTCCGTACATGGATGAAAATCCTTCACAAAACAACATCTGTCAGCCGTTTACGTAATGGCTGCTCTGATGAATCCTTTCTACTAAGCACAGGTGCTAGATGAGAAGACTTCTTCACACCTGATATCTTTATTATTTTCTTGAAGAATATGATAACCTTTCTGCGACGCAAAATTTTATTCAAATGGCGTACCTGTCGACGCCGCAGACACTGTTCATGTGCTACTAGCGTTTGCCGACGACTGTTTGTCGAGCCTCGACGGCACTGATAAGTTTCTCGGACTTGTCGTAGGCTTATATATGTGTCGGTGAGGGCAGTGTTGGGCTTACTTCATCAAACGTCTTCATCGACTCCATGCACCGAAAATGTTTACGTGACGGTATTGTAGCCACAGTTACCACGTCGATTGGGACCTGCTTGATGTCACCATCATTGACTCTCTTTTTAATGGCCTTACATTGATTTAACGAGAATGCGACATGTTATACTTAACATGAGAGAAGGCTGCCGGTGGCGTCTACCTGATTTTTAAGGACTTGGGAGCTTTATGTTGCTCTACATAGCTCACGCGGAACAGCCGACTGGAGTCGCTTGCACAAATAATGCCGTTTTGGGTTAACGTTCGCTTAGGAAGATGAAGGCACCCCTATGCAGCGTAGTCCGGAGGCGATGAATAAATTGATGGCATGAGGCTTCAACCACCTTCAAGACTCTATGAGCTTTATCGGTACCTACGTTACAGCGGATATCCAATGGAACTGGACGACTTTGAAGAGCCAAGTTAACTAATTCGCTAAGTGTTTGACACGATAAGAAGGCTCAACTTAAATATTTCTTTATTCAACTTAGGGGTCGGTTCACAACCAGTAGAGATCAAAGCCTTTTATCATGCATGGAGTCTCGACGAAAGTTTCTTGCTGATCTGCAATAGGTGATTACGTTAGATCACTGCTGAAGACACATTGATATACAGGATATCTGCCAATTTCAATTATGTGGTCTGTGACCCAAGATCATTGATATACAGGATATCTGCCAATTTCAATTATGTAGTCTGTGACCCAAGAATCAATACATTCTTCTAGTGAGTTCAAGTTTAAATTTTGTGCTAGGAGCTCAATACAAGTTTAAATGAAGTGCCAATTGCAAGCATACCTGGGTAAACAGTCAAAGATACCAAACACTTGGTTTCGGATTGTCATGAAGCTTGTTACCATATGGAATTACCCTTGTCCCCACGCCGGGTTCACTAAAGGCGATTTCTTTTGAATTTGATGATATTTGGTTATATTAATTAGCTTAGGCCTACTGCAACTTAGCTCAACAGAGTTTCTGCGATATAGGTATCTGATTGAGTCGATATCCAGCCGAGATAATTGGACTACCTTAAATGTGGTCTACAGAAAATTAAGATTGTAATATTGATCGAAAGTAGTTTGTGGATCAATCTTTTAAATGCATTTCCGTACCGTCCGACCAAATCAACGGTTAGCACCTTGCCAACATATGACTTTTTAAGCATACGGAGAATTTTTCTAATGCTCACGGACATGGCCGCTCCCATGACTTGTATGTAGGGTATGTATATTTTCCTTATTTTATGTCTGTTGATTAGGAATATGAGCGTATATGTAGTAATTTACCCATTAACCGCTCCACATCGAAACTGATCGCGATCTTGATCATCGGGCAGCTCTTTCAAGGACGATCTCTCCACAGCTGAATCGCGTGGGCTCTTCCAATCGTTGTATCACACCGGCTGTTTCTAAATTCTCGGCGTGCATCTAACTCGAAATCTTAAATTTTCGTCAATTACGTTCTTACGATCGTGAATGGTCTGACGTAGCGCGATCGCAACTTAGTATCTTAGATGTGTATTCAGATAGACTAACCGCATTCATGAAGTTTATTGTTTCACAGCATATTCGTGTTGATACGTCTGGCTATGGCCTTGGCTTGTTGCGTTTAATATCCTGTTTCTCAGCCATAGCACAGCGTTCCCTGCGCATGATCCTCAATCACATTGAAATGAATCACTACTTTTGTTAAGTTATGTAATCAATCTGATATAAGAAAGTCAAAATAGATCGACGTTCCTTATCCACTAAGACCGTCTCAAAGAAATGTGCGGCAGGACACCATGGCTGGCAGCACTATGATAAAAACAGCGACATTTATCTCACGAAGAGAGCTCCAAGCGGGATGCTCTGGGAGTGTCTGATTATACCACATGGATTACATAATGCTTCAGCAGTTTCCAATTATCTAGTGATACAGCTCTTCAGGCCACACCATTGCTAGGCACAAGCCTACCTCGACGTTGTGTTTGCCCATAGTTGCGTAGAACACGTGAAATCATTTGTGGAATAATTTATCGAATCTTTACGAGCAGTACTCAGTGTACGTGCTGTAAACGTATTCTTCTATATAGACAAGTTTTTTCGGCGCCGACAAATTTCTTTGCCGAATTAAATCATTGGGATGGAGTACATGCGGGCAATTTCCACAATGATTCAGACAATTGTAGATTGGTCTGTATCATGAGATCCTAAGATTTGGCCTTGTATGGCTAACTAATTTCACTAGTATAATTTGTGATATGCCAACATGGCACAACCTATGATTCAGTTTTATAAAGAAGTCATATGATACTGTGTGCAGCAGAAAAGGTAGCCTTTAAGAGTGAAGGAAAGTTTCATGCGTTCTGAATTACAAATTTAGCCCATACAGTGCCGTCGGTGACGCTTCAGCCTTTTCCATAGGCTGTGCTTTTCTTTAAGCAGATGATGGAGAGCACAAGCGCGTAATCGCGTTCAAGGCTCACCGGTATAATGCAGTAGAGGATAACTACCACGTGTACGACAAGGAGTTTCTTGTAGTGCAGTATACCCGCGCAAGCCCAGGGTGAACCTATTCGGATCTAAGCCCTTCATTATTTGAACAGATGATACGTCGTTGCGCACAGCAATGTCATCACAGCATCTCTCGCAAGATATAGCAAAATGTTAATCCTGATCCTCTTCTGTATCGCCCCAACTATGATTTATTGAGCGTTGCGATGGTGATGTTCGATTAAACACACAATAGCGTTCGGGTCAGAATCAACATATGCTGCTCTGCTGTACATATCGGGAAGTAATGCAGTCAGGAATCCAAATGTCGCTTTATCAAAGCGGGGAATAGCACTCTGCACCGCTGGACTTCGCTTTAAGGCCTGCTGCATCACAGCACTGACCCACATGATGCTCAGTGCAGCAGGGCTGCCGTAGATAGCGCTTGATGCAGCGTAATTTAGGTCACCGATCTTTCATTCTTTACAAGAACCAATACGAGTGTAGCGGATCGCAATCCGCTACCTCCAAGAGCAGTGAGTACCTTAAGCAAGGCTAATAAACTGTTCGCTTTAAATTCAAAACGGATTTTTATTTATTTTATCTGCGGCTAAACCGCCTAATTTTAATTGTATAGGTTTTACTATGTATATATATGTACATAGTAAAATCTAAATACATGCATAACTACTACTTAACCACATACCGTATTCTTGTTTAGGTGCAGTCACGCGATGCACATCTCGTGTGACGCACACCCCTATCAACAGGGTACGTGTAACCCTGTTACACTCAGTGTGTAGATTTGCCTGACTTCAAGTGCAGAACACTGTACAATGACCCAACATGTCGAGATGGATAATCACGCAAGTGCGTATGTGTCGACGGGTTAAACACTTGCCGTATGCGTCGGCAAAAAGTCGTGCTTCAATTGCGATTCCTGCGATTACTACTCCTTCTTTTTTCCTTCTTAGTCGACGCCTGGTCATTAGCCTCAAGCGTAAAGGGGCAAGAGGT